CCCGGGGGGCCCCTGTTGGGCTCCTGCAGCTGTTTGTGGGCCTCCAGTACCCTTTTGGAAGGGCCCAGCTGCGGGCCTGGCGGGAGGGGGGGCCCCCCTATGTCTGCCTCTAAAGAGGGGCCCCCCAGTCCTTCTTTTGCCTTTATTTGCATCTCTGGGTCTTTTAAAGAAGAGTCAGATCCAACAAAAGCGGTACTGGGGGGGCCCCCAGCAGCCCCCGGGGCCTCCGGGGGCCCCCCGGCGCCGCTGGGGGGCCCCAGGGAGAGGCCCGGGGGCCCCCCTCTGACTTCAGGGGGCCCCCCTTGATCTGGAGGCCCCTTGCTGCTGACGTTAGCTGCTTCGCGGGGCCCCTCTGTTGCAGAAACCTCCAACGGGGGCCCCTGCAGCGGCCGCGGGGGGCCCCCAGTACCCTTTGGGGGCCCCCCCCCAGCATCCGCAGGGGCCTCAGGACCCTCTGAGGGCACTAGGGGGGCCCCTATGCATGAGGAGAGGCCCCGAGGGCTGCTGGGGGGCCCCTCGGGGGCCCCGGGGGGCCCCTCAGGGGCACTTGGGGGCCCCTCAGGAGACCCCTGGGGCCCCTCGGGGGCACTGGGGGGCCCCTCGGGGGGCTCACGGGGTCCCTCTAGGGTGCTGGGGGGCCCCTCTGGGGCCCTGGGGGGCCCCTGCGGGTCCCCTGGGGGGCCCCTTTGAGCCTCGGGGGGCCCCTGAGGGTCTAGGGAGGGGCCCCTTTCATCCCCTTCGGGGCCCCCAGCGTTTGCTGGGGGCCCCCCTGCTGCGGAAAGACTGCTGCTGCTGTTAATGGTGTGCTGCTGCTGCTGCTGCTGCTGCTGCTCCGTTTCGTTTGCTGTGGGGGGCTCAGTCATCTGTGGGTTAAGGGGCGCGGCGCATAAATAATAAATGGATAAATAAAAAGTTAATTAATTAATTAATTAATTAAGTAATTAATTAATAATAAATAATAAATAATAAATCCAATAAGACATTAATTGTATGTTGGCCGCCCTCGATATCAAATTCGAGGGTCTCGTTGCTGCGCCCCGCTGCTGCCGCGGCTGCTGCTGCTGCTGCTGCTGTTGTTGTTGCTGCTGTTGCTGCTGCAGCTGCTGCTGCAGTTGATGGTGACGATGCCGCTAGTCATCCGTGTGCCGCCACTGCTGCTGCTGCTGCTGCTGCTGTGTCAGAGGTCACTGGGGTGTCACCGGGGGGCCCCCATCTCTAAACCCTAAACCCTAAACCTGAAACCTTAAACCCTAGACCCTGAGCTCACGAAACCCAGGAATCTGGTTTATATCGGGCGAAGAAGGGGCCCCCCCACAGCGAATCAAGCTGCCCAGCTGCTGCTGCTGCTGCTTGCTGCCGCTGTTTCTGCAGCTGCTGCTGCTGCTGCCATGTGTCTTGTTGCTTGTGCACAGGAAAACCGAAAAAAGAGTTAAAAGAAAATACACAAAGTCTTAAACTGGAGAAGGAACAAGGAAGACAGCAGCAGTAGCATCAGCAGCAGTCGCTGCTGCTGTTGCTGTTGCTGCTCGGGGTGTTGCGGGCCCCACCCCCTTACACTTGGACTTGTGGCTGCAGACAAAGTAAAAGAATATAATTTTAATTCTATTTAATTAATTATTTTAATTTTTCCCCATTTATATTCGCCCTAAGAAGCTACAAATGAGGCAGTGAGGAAAACCCAAGGGGCCCCCCCCTGCGAGGGGGCCCATGGGGCCCCTGAGGGGGCCCCCAAACCCTCAGTCTGTCAAGACAGCTCAGCATCTAGGGTTTAGGGCTTTCACAATCTTAAAGGGTTTTATATTTCTTTAGAAGTTGAGGGTTTGGTGCCTTTATTGCTCCTCGCTGCAGCTGCGCGCAGCTAGCTGCGCCTGGTCGTGGCTAGCTGCAGCTAGCCATGGCTACACAGCTAGCTAGCTAGCTAGCCAGCTATGCATGTAACCCTAGCTGCACTAGCTATCAAGCTAGCAGGCAAGCTAGCTAGCTAGCTAGCCAGATAGTCAGCCAGCTAGCTAGCTAGCTAGCTAGCTAGCTAGCTAGCTAGCGAGATGTCTGGCTAGCCAGCTAGCTAGCGGCGAGGAGGCTGGAGCCCCATTTGGCGTCCTGGCAGCCATTGACTTCAACTCTATTTCAATTTAATTAATCAATAAATTAATTAATTAATTAAACTTAATTAACTAATTTATTTATTTATTTATTATTCTATTTAATTCTATCTTACAAATTATTTAATTGTCTGTTTTCCACTTATTTATTTACTTTTATTTTGTTTTCGAGATCAAATATTTAATTTGTTTTGTTTTGCAAATTCGCATGTCCGTGCTGCTGCTCTTGCATTTTGAACTTAATTAAAAATTAAATTGAATTAAATTAAATTAAGTTAAATTAAATTAAATTAAAACATAATTGATATCCATTTTAATTTAAAATCAATTACGTTCAATTTTAATTAAATTCAAATTCAGTTAAATTCAAATTCAACAATTCGAATTCAATTTGTGCACTTGAGAATAAAAACATAAATTCAAAAACTATTTGAATTCGAATCAATTAACTTCAATTGAAATTAAATTTCAATTAAAATTAATTTCAATTAAAATTAATTTCAATTAAAATTTAATTTCAGTTGAAATGAAATTGCAATTAATTGAAATTAATTTCAATTTCAGGAAAAGACGAATTGAATTTGAGTTCCAATTTGTAACCAAATTTCAATTAAATTGAATTCCAATTGCAACTTTGTTCCAATTGGAATGAAACTGAGATTGAATTAAATTTTAATTGGAATAAAATTGAAGGCTTTTTACATTTTTATTTGAGCTGATTCCAGTTGAAACAAAATTTGAATTGGAATAGAAATTTTGCGGAATCGAATTGCAGTAAATTCGAAATTTAAATCAATGCAAATTCAGATTGATTTTAAATATGAAGTCGAACAGCATTTGAATTGACTGAATTATAGTTGAACTCCGATTTCAATCGATTTGAATTTGAATATGCTTCAAATTTCAATTGGCCTGAGTGGACTTGAATATTAATTTAAATTGATCTGAAATTGAATTGAATTTGAGTTTGGAGAAACTTGAAATTGAACAGAAATGAATTTGAACTGACCTGAATTTGAATTCAAATGAATTTGAACTGAAGTTTGATGGAAACTAAATTTGGATTAATTTTAATGCGAATTAAATTTTATCAAAGTTCTACTCGAATTCGAAGTATATTTATATTAGAATTAAGTCAAACTTGAATTGGAATGAAACTGAATTGATTGAAGTTTGTTTGGAACTAAATTTCAGTTGCTTTCCACTCAAACTGGACTTGAAGTCGAACTGATTTGAAGTTGTTAAAATTAGACTTGAATTCATTTATTTCTGAATTGAATGCAAGTTTAATTGATTTGAAGTTTAATCGGCGCGAATTCAAAACTAAATTGATTTCAACTGAAACCAAAATAAATTTGAATTGGTTGAGATTTGGTAGGGACTCAATTTAAGCAAACCCGAATTCGAATTGAATTTAATTTTGAGTTGGCATGGGAAATTTGAAATGCAACTGAATTGAATTAAGTTTAATTTAACTTCGAATTGATTCGAAATTGAATAAAACTAAACTTCATTTGGTTGAGTGAACAAATACGAGATCCGCGCTGCAGTCATTAAAACTGGAAATTAGGAACATATTTCCGGCCTTTTTCAAAATAAATAGACCCTTTCCGACAGAAATATACAAAATAAACAAAGTTTTCGGAAGAAATAAAGTAAAGAAAACTATTTTTGAGAGGAAAGCGAGACTGAGTCATCCAAAAAGTCCTTGCCAAAATACCCTTTGAAACGACAATCCAGACGGCTAACAGTTCACTTCAATATTTTGTAAACACCTTAGCATTCTCAAAAATCAAAGAGTTTGGAAAGAAACAAAGGAAATAACAAAACTAAAAGTCACTTTTCGCATTTTCTGAATTTTCGAAACTCTCCAAAGCGAAGAGTTGGGAAAGAAACAAAAGAAATAACAAAACTAAAAGTCACTTTTCCCATTTTCTGAATATTCGAAACTCTCCAAAGCGAAGAGTTGGGAAAGAAACAAAAGAAATAACAAAACTAAAAGTCACTTTTCCCATTTTCTGAATATTCGAAACTCTCCAAAGCGAAGAGTTGGGAAAGAAACAAAAGAAATAACAAAACTAAAAGTCACTTTTCCCATTTTCTGAATATTCGAAACTCTCCAAAGCGAAGAGTTGGGAAAGAAACAAAAGAAATAACAAAACTAAAAGTCACTTTTCCCATTTTCTGAATTTTCGAAACTCTCCAAAGCGAAGAGTTGGGAAAGAAACAAAAGAAATAACAAAACCAAAAGTCACTTTTCGCATTTTCTGAATTTTCAAAAACTCTCCAAAAGCGAAGAGTTGGGAAAGAAACAAAAGAAATAACAAAACTAAAAGTCACTTTTCCCATTTTCTGAATTTTCAAAAACTCTCCAAAAGCGAAGAGTCTCATCCCCTTTTCCAGCTCCAGTAACTACGCGGCTCCCGCACGGCGACGCAGCCAGAAACAAAACCCGAGACGCGTGGCCTGCAAACCCCAAACCCTAAACCCTAAGCCCTAAACCCTAAACCCCAAACCCTAAAACCTAAGCTTCATATTGTAGACCCTCGACCCTAGACGCTGGACCCTGGACCTTAGATTCTTCACGCTGGACCCTGGACCATTAACCCTTAATGGCAGACTTTAGACCCTAGACCCTAGACCCTAAACCCTAAACCCTAAACCCTAGGTCCCAGACCCTCAACTCTAAACCCTCGGTCCCAGCCCCCGCCACAAACGCTCTAAACCCCAAGCGGTGCAGAAAAAAGGACCAAATCCAGAAACAATGCCCGCGACACACCTGGACTGCAAACCCTAAACCCTAAACCCTAGACCCTAAACCCTAAACCCTAAATCCTCGCTGACCTGTGAGAGTTGCAGTGCGCTTAACGGGCTGCGCCCTCGGGTTCGCGAGAGGGGGCTCTTGTGCGTAGAGGGAGTCAAGGACGGAGCTGCCTGCTGCTGCTGCTGCTGCTGCTGCTGCTGCTGCTGGGGGAGGCGGAGCCGGCGCTGCTGCTGCTGCAGCAGCCAAAGAAGGACTGTAACTCCAAACAAATATTTGATTTAAAGAAAAACCATGAGTGCTCAAAAAGGAAAAGCCGAAAGGGCTGAAGCAGATGTTGCACACTTGGCTTCCGGTGTCTACGCAGCTCACGCTGCGGGTGCTGTTGCTGCAGCAGCAGCAGCAGCAACAAAATAAAGCAAACAACCAGACAAAGAAGAAGCAACTCAACAAATAAAACACATTTAAACTCAAAACGCCGTTATTCCCAATGCAGAAACCACCGCAGTGTGCGGCAGAGCGTTAGGGTCTAGGGTTTAGGGTTTAGGGTTTAGGGTTTACATTTTGGCGTTCCAAAATCTAATGTGTCTGTCGGCAGTGCCGCCGCCGCTGGCCAGCAGCCCGTCGACTTGGGGGCTGAACTTAACAGCTTTAATTGCTGCTTTGTGTTCCCCATAAACAAAAAGTGGGGTTGTTGTTGCTGCTGCAGTGCGCAGCCGCCGCGCAGCAGAGCCCCCATCTGCTGCTGCTGCTGTTGCTGCTGCCGCCGGCGCTGCGGGTGTCGTTGCCGTGGGAGTCGCGGCGGAAGCCTGCGGCTCTGCTCCCTGATGCTGCTGCAGCAACTGCTGCTGCTGCTGCTGCTGCTGCATAGGGGGCGGCAGCGGGGAAAACAGAGAAGGGTATAATCCTGAAGGAGCCAAAGAATAAAAAGATGACAAATTTAAATCGTCAAAAAAGGGCTCAAACATATCTGGAGAAGACCGCGTAGAGCTGGTGCTGCTGGGGGGGCCCCCCAGGGGGCCCCCCAGGGGGCCCCCCAGGGGGCTTCTCGGGGGGGCCCCCAGGGGGCCCCCAACCTCTGTAAAGGGGGACACGCCGGTTGCTGTTGCTGCAGTCAGGGGCCCCCCAATTCTTGAGTGCCGCGCAGGGCGCAGCGAGGGGGAGAAGGAGCTCCCTGCTGCTGCTGCTGCTGCTGCAGCAGCAGCAGCAGAGGCGGGGGAAGAACCTGACGCCGGGGGGGCCCCCTGGTGGGGGCCCCCATTAAGGGGGGCCCCCTGGAGGGCCCCCTGAGAGTTGATTCTGCTGCTGACTATTTTTCGAAGGTCCCAAACGCAAAGCAAATTGTCATTCGCTCCAGAAGCCAAAAGAGTTTCTGCTGGAGATAAATCAAGTCCGCAAATTTCCGACTGGTGGAAGGGAAAAGCAGCAACGGCGGACTCCTGCTGCAGCAGCAGCAGCAGCAGCAGCAGAAACAGAAGCAAGTGCAGCAGCAGCAAAAGGAGGAGATGCACAGGCCGCACGCCCGCCCGCAGACGCAGCAGCAAACACTCCAGCACCAGCAGCAGCAGCAAAAGCAGCTAGCAGGAACCCCCGCAGCGAGATCCACAGCAGCAGCAACCGCAGCAGCAGCAGCAGCAGCAGCAGGGGGTCGCACGCATCTGAGGTCCCTGGCGAGCACAGTTTGGTCCCTGGAGCCGGTGAAGAGCAGCGGCTGCTGCAGCCCCCAAGCAGCAACAGCACATCTGCTGCGGTGGCCCTGCAGCTTTCGAATTTGCTGCTGCTTCCTCACATCCCACAGTTCTATTACGCCGCTGCGCAGCCCCACACACAGCAGCGACGGACTGCAGCGCGAAAAAGAGACCGCCGAAACCTCCTGACACACACGCCCAAACCCTAAACCCTAAACCCTAAACCCTAAACCCTAAGTCCCCCAAAACCCTAAGCCCAAGCCCTAAACCCTGAACCCCAAACCCCAAACCCTAAACCCCAAACCCCAAGCCCCAAACCCCAAGCCCAAACGAACACACCCCTCCCCCCTCCCCCCTAAACCCTAAACCCTAAACCCTAAACCCCAGGGACTGGGACCTCGTTGGGCTGCGGGTTGAGTCTGTGGAAGAGGGGGCGCGTGGCGTTGGTGTCTGCGTTCCAAAGAAGAAGAGAATTTTGAATTCCAACGGCGAGGAAATTTGCAGAAGACCAAGAAAGCAAATTTAAGTAGAAGTCGTCGGGCAGCTGCGGCACTTCCAGCACCCGGTACGGGTTCTGCACGCCAATTCAACTTTCGACTTTTTTCTACAGTTTTTTCCTTTATTTTCTCCCCTTTTTCGCTTATTTCATTTATTTTATTCATCTGTTTATTTATTTTATTTGGGGTTTTGGTTTTTCGCTTGTTTGCTGCTCGTTTCTTGGGTTGTGTTCAAGTTGAATTCAACTTCGGCAAGCTTCGAACTGGGGGTTCAGAAGGGTACAGCTGCGGTTTCCTTCTTGTTTATTATTTATTTCTTTATCTTTTATTACTTATTTATTTGTTTGTTTATTATTTGTTTATTTGTTTATTTGTTTGTTGAATTGTTCTTTTGCTTCGTTCTCTTTTCAAATCTGAATGAGCTCCACTAGGAAAGATCCTGCCTCGACAGTGTGAGAGGATCATTTCGCCCAGCGCGCTGTTGCAGCCACCAAACCCTAAACCCTAAGCCCTAAGCCCTAAACCCTAAACCCACCTTAGAGACCCTCTGGGGCTTCCCCAAGTTCCTCTTTTCTATAACGCGCATTTCGCTGCAGTCCAAACAGCAGCAAAATGGGGAATTAGAGCACCAGAGGTGCTCTTGGGGGCCCCACGGGGGCCCCCGGGGGGGCCCCCTGGGGGCCCCCCCGGGGGCCCCGGGGGCCCCCAGTTGCTGCTAGCAAAAGCAGAAACCTCTGGAAAGCTTCCAGGGAAGTTTTCGTCTTGAATTAAAAAAGCTGCTGCTGCTTCCTCATAGCCATTTTGCTGCGTCGGCTGCTGCGGCAGGGCTGCGCGGACAATGCAAACCCTAAACCCTAAACCCTAAACCCTAAACCCTAAACCCTAAACCCTAAACCCTAAGAAAGCTCCTATGTAGAGTGCGTGGCAACTTGAATTTGTTCCTTTGCGTTTGTACCCGTAGACCCGTTTCAGTTCGAACAGTTCATTTTTATTTACCACTTGAATCAATTAAGTAACTATTTTATTATTTATTTATTATTTATTTATCTATTTATTTATTTATTTATTTATTTATTTATTTATTTATTTATGTTTTGCTCACTGGGAGAGACTGGGGGAGGGCTGACTCCCAAGACGAAAGTGGCGAGGGCTCTTCTTTTTCTTTTTTCTGCTGCTGCATCACTTCTCTTATATTTGCATTTAGAGGCATTCGCGTTTGCTGCAGCAGCAGCAGCAGCAGCTTGCTGCTGCTGCTGCTGCTGCTGCAGCCAGCCCTCCCTCCTGCTGCTGCGCTGCTGCTGCGAAAATGAATCAAAACCCAAACAGCGGCAGCAGCGCTCGCTGAAGGGAGAAGCCCCGAGCCCTGCCTGCGCATGCATGCGAAAGAAAGGCTCTAGCGGCACATTCAGGAAGGTCCCGCTGCTGCTGCTGCTGCTGCTGCGGCAGCGGAAGACCCCCCTCTCCATATTGTCTGTTGCTGCTTCGGCGGCAGCTGCGCAATTGAAAAACCCGCGAGTAGCAGATCAGCAGCAACTTGTTGAAGCGGCTCTGGCACTGGGGAAGGAAAACAAAAAAAAGAAACGGCGCGGCTGCTGCTGCTGCTGCTGCTGCTGCAGTCAAAAAATTTGCTGCTGGGCTCGAGCTACCAAGAGTTGCTGCTGCGGCAGTGACAAGAAAAAAATAAAAATGGAAAAATTGCAAAACGCAAGCGCCGCTCCTCGGCAGATGCGGCCGAGCAATTCTCGTGTCTGCGGGTGAAAGGAGGGGAAAAGAATAAAATAACGCAGCTACAAGCTAAATTACAAATTTAAATTCAGATTCAAAAGAAAAGAAGAAAGCAAAAGTTGAGGATTCCGCGGCAGTTCCAGCTGTACGTGCAGCTGGCGACAGAAAGCGCACGGCGGCGCCGACTCTCGCGGATCAACACTGAAAAACGGCGGAATTTGCGAATTGATTAAAAATTCTTTTTAATTTTTCCGTTAAATTCAAAGTCACAATGTCGAAATTGCTGCGCGCCGCCAATTGTTTCGCAATTCGCCTGTCGCCGCCGCAGCGTCCGCTCGGCGGCTGAGCCCCCGGGCGACGCCGCGGGGAAAACGCCGGCTTTCGAGCCTTTTAAATAGTCTTCTGCGTTCAAAATGCACTTTAAATTCCATTTTTCTCCTTGTTTTGAACCCAGGTTGCGGGATTTACCCAAAAGATCCAGGCGTTTCGCCGCGGATTCATGCACGTACAGATTCAACTCATCCCGCGGCTGCAGGCAGGCGCATGCGTCTGCTGCTGCTTTTTCCCAGGTGTATCGACACTAAGTTCACTCTTGTTTCCAACCATTTCAATCATTAATAATTCATTTATTCAATTAAAAACTTCCGAGAAACCAAAACAGGCAGCCCTGCCCCCCGGGCGCTGCAGCCAGCTTGGAGCTGTTTGCGCTCCTAAGGCCGTCTTGTAGTTCAGCACAAATTCCGGACTTTAATTCCTTTTAATTCATTTTAATTAATTCAATTTAATTTAATTTATTTTGTTAATTCAATTCAATTAATCCGTTCATTTGCCTCACCTAGGGGGGAGCTTGAGAGAGGTTGAGACCCCGTGCCAGCGAGGCCCTAAACCCTAAACCCTAAACCCTCTTTCCACTTCCGGCGTGAACTGCTGCGGCTGAGAATAATAAGCCCAACCCCTAAACCCTAAACCCTAAACCCTTAGCCTCAAACCGAATTACGAATGCTCCGGCCCACTTGTGCTGTTTCCTGCCTCTTAAAGCGTAAACCCTAAACCCTAAACCCTAAACCCTCGTCCGGCCAAAACATCCGCGGCCTTTCCCTTCGCAGCGCGCGTGAGCTGGGGTGTACGTACACCTGACAGCAGAGGAGGAAAGAAAAAATGCGAAAAAGAAATATAAATTCAGAACAAAAAGGTTCAAAAAGTTGAACTTTGACTCATTTTATTACTTGAGTTAAACTTAAAAGCAAAACCCTACTTGGAGATCTATTTGCAACTTTTGTTAAATTGATTAATCTGATCTTCACCAAATTGATTAACTCAACAGATCCAGGGGATTGAAAATAGCTTCACATTTAATTACACATTTATTGTAATACATATTTATTCTTTGTTTTCTTTGTTGGGTGTACAGACACCCCAGCAGCCCCAACTTCAATTTCGCCCTGCCTTGCAGCAGCAGCAAAAGTCCGATATCTGTAGAATGCAGCAGCAAAAACTCCAAACCCTAAACCCTAAACCCTAGCACTCCGCTGCTGCTGTCTGGCTGCGCGCAGCAGCAGCAAACTATTGCTGACTTTTCAGCAGCAGCAGCAACTACGGTTTGGAGACTCCTGCTGCAGCAGCAGCAAATATGGTTTGGGGGCTGCTGCAGCAGCAGCAGCAGCAAAGTAGGGTGTTGGGGAGCAGCAACTAGGGTTTAGGGTTTTGGCAAAAAGCTGTAAAGAAAATGTTTCAGGGTTTAGTTTGATAGATAACGGCTGGCGCCCCGCAAGCAAACAAAAGCAGCAGCGCGTGGCGCTGCTGCTGCAGCGGCTCGTGCTGCTGCTGCTGCTGCAGCAGCTCGTGCTGCTGCTGCTGCTGCAGCAGCTCGTGCTGCTGCTGCTGCTGCAGCAGCTCGTGCTGCTGCTGCTGCCGCTGCTGCTGCAGCAGCTGCTGCTGCTGCACCTTATTCACTCTACCTTCTTTCTAAAAGAGCACCCTTCAGTAAGTTTGCACTTCCCGCCTGTGGGCTGGCACAGCATCACGTTGCAGCTGCAAAAACAAAAACAAACAAATAGATAAATAAATAAATAAATGATTAAATGTAATCAAACATATTTATTTATTATCAAAACTAAATGCCTCTTGACTCCAAACACTCATTCGCACAAAAAACAGCTTGCTGCACCAGTCCATCCCAGCAGCAGCAGCAGCAGCAGAAGCAGCAGCACCGGAGGAAGCAGCAGCAGAAGCAGCAGCACCGGAAGCAGCAGCAGCAGAAGCAGCAGCACCGGAAGCAGCAGCAGGATGGAAAGCAAACATTGTTGTACTTAACAGCAAGAAATAAAAAGATGGTAAGGCATTTGGGTGGCGAACACGGCGAAAACAAAATTAGGAAACAAAAAATAAAAACAAAAATAATAAATAGTAAAGACTAGCAGCAAAACAAAAGCTGCAGCACTCCTCCACGAGACAGAGAGAAGAACAGCAGCAGCAGCAGCAGCAGCAGCAGCCCGTACAGACCGAAGTAGACCTTGAAGCTGCTGCGTGGGCGTGGCGGAGCGCAGCGGCTGCGGGCCAGCCCGCCTCGCCAGCCCAGGGCTGAGACCTCAGGGCCTAGGGTTTAGGGTTTAGGGTTTGGGGCTGACCTGCCGCAGAGGACGACGGTCTGGGCGTGGGAGAAGACAGTGGCGATGCTGTAACAGCCAGGGCACTTGACGTCCATGAAGAAGGACTTGGGGTTTGGAATGAGGCGTTTGAGTTTGTGTTTCTTGGCCTCCTCGAGGGGGTCGGGGTGCAGCAGGTCCATCTCCATTTTCGGGAAACCGCGGCCAAATTGCTCGATTCAACAAGCTAAACTGACACTTATTTGCACTTTCTGTTGCACTGCACCCTCGCAAACTCCAAAAACACAAACTGACGCACCAGGAGTCGCTAATCCTGTGGGGAGCAGCAGCAGCGGCGGTCGCCGCAGCAGCCACAGCAGCAGCCCACAGCCGGTGTACATACACCTCGTCGCTGCTTCGGGGCTGCGGCCGCAGCCTCCCGGGAAACTTCACTTTTAAATCTTTTAAATAATCGCCGTTGCGCTAAACCACTTTTAACTATCCTTTGCTTCCGAAACACCCTCGAATCGCCGAATTAATTCCTGCTTTCCACCTTCTAACACCCCCGCCCCGCTGCGGCTCCGTTCCGCGCCGCCCAGCTGCTCTCTCCAGCTGCCACTGGCTTTTCCGTCAACTACACTTTCTTTTTCTTCCTTTTTGTTCCAAAGTTTTGCTCATTCATTATTATTTCCCAAGAAAAGGGAAAAAAGAGGAGTTGGAGCGGCGAAGCCTGCATACTGCGCGGTGTGTCCGGAGCTGCAACGCCTCTCTTCTTGTCGGCATTTCGCCGTTTTCTTTCCTTCGTTTCTTTTCCTTTTTGTTTTAAATTCATTTTTTCTGTTTTTGTTTCTTGCCGCCTCCTTCCTGCGCCCTCCCGTGCTCCTGGGGGCCCACAATCGACGCTTCAAACCCTAAACCCTAAACCCTAGGCACCAAACCCTGAAACCGAGCAGCGACCCGCGCCCAAAAGCTCCGCCCGAATCCCCAAACCCTAGCGCGAAACCCTAAACCCTAAACCCTAGCTGGAAGGCCCCGGCTGGCCCTCCTGCGGCTTCTTTCTTCAATTCTTTTCAATTCATTTTCTTTTTATTCTTTTCTTTTGCAAAATGATTATCCCCGTCCGCTGCTTCACCTGCGGCCGCGTCATTGGGCACTTGTGGGAGCAGTACGTCGAGAAGCTGCAAAACGACGTCGACGAAGGGTAACCCTAAACCCTAAACCCTAAACCCTAAACCCTAATTCCGAAGCCCTAGACTGCAGTCCCCTGCCTGTTCGCAGGGGGACTTTCGGGGCCGGCGCTAGACGGACCTCTACACTCCAGCCTGGACTTCCTAAACCCTCAGGCCCAACGCTAAACCCTAAACCCTAAACCCTAAACCCGGACATGTCTGCGCCACAGTACAGCGCAGAGGCTGCGCGGCGAGGGTTTAGGGAGGTTATGTGGCGGACCTTCGTTAGGGTTTAGGGTTTAGAAACATTCGCAGCGGCGCGCGCTTGTTTAGGGTTTAGGGTTTAGGGTTTAGGGTTTAGGGTTTGCAAGCTCTCGCCTCTTTGTCTCGCTCCATTTACCACTGGAATGGACTTCAAAACTCCTTTATTGTTCACAGTTTTAATTAATTTAATTTAATTTATTTAATTTAATTTAATTTGATTTAATTTAAATTACTTATTTTGCTTCTTTCTCTGCTGCCCCAGAGTGGCCCTGGACGACTTGGGCCTAAAACGCTACTGCTGCCGCCGCATGATTTTGACGCATGCAGATCTCATAGATAAGCTTTTGGCCTACAACAGTAAGCAGCAGCAGCAGCAGCAGCAGCAGAAGCAGCAGCAGCAATTTGTTTGGCTTTCTTGGTGTCGTTTTAGGCCTTTTGAGGGTTTATATTTCTTTTCTGGGTTTGTTTCCGTTTTGATTTGTTCCATTTTGCTTTTTCCTTATCATATGACTTGCTGCTGCTGCTGCTGCTACAAGTTTTGCTGCTGCTGCTGCTGCTGCTTCAAGTTTTGCTGGAGTGATTGGTGTCCGCGCTTCTTGACTCCAGTCTGCTTCGTTATGGATGCACTAGTTAGTTCTTCTATTTATTTTTTATTTAATTTAATTTAATTAATTAATTTATTTATTTTAAATTAATTTATTTGTTTTTGTTTTAATATAATGGACATCTGGAGGCTCGCGCATGCAGTCCTGCTGCTTCGTCTCTGGGGCTAAGTGCCTGCTGGATTTACCCGCTCTGCTTTGCTGCTGCTGCTGCTGCTGCAGTTTATGAAAAGAAGCTTCCGGATCAGTGAAGAGAATGACTTTAGGAGATTAAATGAATAAGAGGACTAAGAGGAGAAAAAAGGAGAAAAGAAGAAAAATAGGAGGGACGAACTCGAATAGAAGCAAATATTGGCTTTTTGCTGCTGCTGCTGCCGCACCTTCAGCAGCAGCAGACAAAGCAGCAGCAGCAGCTGCTGCTGCCGTCGAAGCAGCCGCAGTTGCATTTGTTGCAGTAGCAGCAGCTGTCGCTGCAGCAGCAGCAGCAGTTGCAGCAGGTGTGTGTTGGAGAGTCTGGGGTGTACATACACGCAGCGTGTGTTGCGTTGAGGTGTACGTACACCCCACCGCAGCGGAAGACAGCAGCTGCTGGTTTTCCTTTTTTAGTTTTGCGGCGCAGTGTACGTACACCGCAAGCAGCAGCAAACTGGACCTAGGGTTTGCGTTTTAGGGTTTAGGGTTTGCGTCTAGGGTTTAGGGGTTTTCTCTAGGGTTTAGGGTTTGGAGCAGTACAGCTGCTACGAGTTCGGGGCTGCATCCGCGTGAGCCGTTGAGGTGTACGTACACCTCAGCTGCCGCCAAAAAGCCCTCAGCCTCAACTGAGCCCTCAGCCTCAACTGCGACTTCACAAATTTGAACTTGACTTTTTGAATTGAATTCAATTATTTGAATTCACTTTTTGGATTAAATTTAATTGCTTGTTTCTGTGTCGCACGCGCAGTCTGTTGTTGCGTTGGCTCCCCTTTGCGCGCCGAGGTGTACGTACACCTCAGCGGCTGGGGCCCTGTCGGCAGCAGCAGAGGCTGGGGCCGCAGCTGGGGTGTACGTACACCCGAGCGCGCGGCGCGGGCGGCGCAGTGTCTGTGCAGCTGAAGGGGCCGGGGTGTACGTACACCCCAGTCACTTCAAGTTGTTCAGCGCCTCCTCCAGCTTCGGCTTCAAAACCCCCACAATTGTTTCCACCACTTTTCCGTCTTTGTACAATTTGAAAGTCGGCATTGCCTGCACCTTCTCCCGCTCGCAGAGTTCCGGGTTCTCGTCCACGTCCACCTGAACGCACTCGCGCACTGGCTTTGCTGCTGCAGCAGCAGCAGCAACTGCAGCAGCAGCTGCTGCAGCAGCAGCGGCAGCTGCTGCCGCTGCGCTGCAGAAGCGGGCGCATTTGTTGCAGCGACTGGCTCGCTCGCCGCTAGCCCCAACATACTCGAAGCTACGCAAACAAACAGCAGCAGCAGCAGCAGCAGCAGCTGCTGCTGCTGCTGCTGGGGAAAGTGCCTACCCCGTAGAAGTTGATGTGGGTCATGGTGTTGCTTTTCTCCTCGAGGAATGGCCTAATCATTTTGCAAGGCCCTAAACACAAAAGCGACCCAATACTGGTGCAATGCTTTGCAGCAGCAGCAGCAGCAGCGCAGGCAGCAGCAGCAGTACAGGCAGCAGCAGCGCAGGCACCAGCAGCAGCACAGGGAGCAGCAGCAGCAACCGCAGCACAGGCAGCTGCAGCAGCAGCGCAGGCACCAGAAGCAGCACAGGGAGCAGCAGCAGCAGCACAGGTAGCAGCAGCAGCACAGGCAGCAGCAGCAGCAGCAGCAGCAGGGACTCACCACACCAGGTGGCGAAGAAGTCGACGATGGCGAGGCCGTTTTTGATCGCCTCGTCGAACTCTGCAGCAAATCAATTCAAATTTATTTGCTGCTGCTGAGTTGAAGACAAAAAGTGCATTTTACTGCTACAAAATAGAATTTAAATTCACTTCAATTCATTTTTAATCCACTTTTAATTCATTTTCAAATGCCTGCTGCTGCCGAGTGATGTTTTCTGTCGAAATAAACTAATTAAACAGTTCTGGCGGTGGACAGAAAAGAAAAGAATTAAAAACGGGCACTCTCAGGTGTACAGGCACCCCGAGCTGAGAGGCTTGAGGGAAGCAGCAGAGCCAGAAGGAGCACAACTGACATCAACAAGACAGAGTCGAGAAGACGCAGAAGATGAAAACTAATCTGCTGCTGCTGCTGCTGCAGCAACAGCAGCAGCCGAGGATTAGTTTTCATCTTTTGCGTCTCCTAAACTCGAGTGCTGCTGGGGCAGAGCTGCAGTTCCAGAAGGAGGCCAACGGCTATTCAACTTCTCGCGCCATTCCCTCTGGCGAAGCGACAGACGCTTTCCAGAAGACGCAGAACATTAAAATTAAAAAATGGAGTTTAAAAAGATATAAAGTGAAGACAGAGGCGCGCAGATTCTGCAGAAATGGAAAAACGGCGAAACCTGAATCCGGTGTGTGTGGTGCTGAACGGACCCTCAATGCCTTTAAGGTGCTTGACGGGCATCTTCGCGAGGCGAAAATCGAAAATAAACTCCAAATAAAGATAATTTGAAATGAAAGATCTCGAAATGGAGAATAAAAAAAAGATGAGTTCTGCTTCCCTCACGCGTGCACATCAACAGCAGCCTGGGCTGTACGTGCACTCCGCGGGTGGCTGCGCGCCGGGTGAAACTGCAGGTAATTGAACATTTAGAAAATTGTTTTTGTTAAAGGTCTAAGTGCTTTTGAACAATTATTTCAAATTGCTTTTTCCTTTTTTTCTCCGCTTTTCCCTATTCTAGCCCCGCAGCGCGTCTTGACTCGGTCCTCCGCAGAGGGCCCCTCAGCTTTCTTAATCGATGGAAAACTGCTCGCCTCGAGCTGAAACCGAAATGCTCTAGACTAAAAACCCCAATTCAGGGTTTAGGGTTGAAGTTTGTAGTTGAAGATGGCGGCAGATGTTCAATTCAACTTTGCCGACGGCAACGTTGCCTTTCCCTTCCTGGATGCAGCAGGCCCGCAGCAGCAGCAGCAGCAGCACCAGCGGACGCCTCGGCCTCAGCAGCAGCAGGAGCTGCAGCAGCCCCAGGCCCAGGGAGCGCGGCGAAGACACAGACAGGGTGCTGGCGCCGCTGGCGCTGCGGCCGCTGCTGCTGCAGCGACGTCCGCTGCAGCAGCAACTCTCCAGCAGCAGCAGAAGCGACTCACGCAGCAGCAGAAGAACCGAGAACGCCACCTGAAGCTCCTGCAGCAGCAGCAGCAGCAGCAAGAAGCAGAGGCTGCGAACTCTGAGGACGACAGCAGCTTCAGTCGCGCTGCGCTCGTGAGCAGCAGCGTTGCCTCTCGGCAGCAGCAGCTGCAGCAACAGCAGCAGCAGCAACTCCGAGAAGCAGCTGCTGCTGCTGCAGCAAAAAAGAAAAAGAAGAAAAGGAAAAGAGACTCACAGAGCGCCCAAACGCAGACAGAAGATGCGCCGTCGATACACCCGGAAGCAGCAGGCACGCCTCCAGACAGCAGCAGCAGCAGCAACAGCAGCAGCAGCAACAGCAGCAGCAGCAACAGCAGCAGCAGCAACAGCAGCAAGAGAAAGGAGAAGCAAAAAGATAAAGACACATCTAGAGAAGAGAACAACGCACATGAAGAAGAACCGGTTGACGAAACGCAGGAAATCAAGGAGCAGCAAAACAGCGAGGGAGAAAGCATGCAGCAGCAGCAGCAGCAGAAGCGCAAGCGGCGCAGGCGCGGCACACGGCAGCAGCAGCAGCAGCAGGAAGGTGACGACGACAGTGCTGAAGGTGTGTGGGAAGACGAGCACACAATGGGTCAGGGCTGGGCAGACAGTGCTGCTGCTGCTGAGCAGCAGCAGCCGCAGCAGCAGAAGCAGCAGCAGCAGCAGCAGCAGAAGCTATGGGGCGTGACGAAGGGGGGCCGCCGCATAATAATTCGGCACATGTTTAAAGAAGGAAATGAAAAAGGGAAAAGAAGAACTAAAACGAGAAGCAGACAAAAAAATATCAAAAAAGATAAAAGGCCCGAGGCCTTGGTGAGGGCTTAAGCTGCTGCTGCTGCTGCTGCTGCCGTTGCTGCTGCGCCTACTGCCCTCGGTGCTGCTGCTGCTGCGCACACTGCCCTCTGCGCTGTGCTTGCTGCGCTTGCTGCGCTAAGTGCTGCTGCTGCAGCTACTGCAGCAGCTGCATCTAATGCTGGGTCTGCTGCTATGTTGCTGCTGCTGCTGCTGCTGCTGCTCTGTTGCAGAGGCCTTCCTACTTGTCATGAGCTACGCCGTTGGCCGCGCGGTGCAGCAAAGGGCTGCTGGAGCCAAACCCTAGGCCTCAAACCCTAAACCCTAAACCCTAATTCGAGGTCCTGGGGGAAGGAAAGAAATTGCCTTTTGAGCCTTCCTCTAATCTTTTAAACTCCAGAAACGGGGGCGCTGTCGAAAGACAAGACGCGCCTTCAAAACCCTAAACCCTAAACCCTAAACCCTAGCTGCTGCTGCGCTCTCGGGCAGCAGCTAGGGTTTCTGCAGAAGGGTGCTCTTGCCCGCTGCAGAGTTCACGAATCAAACAAACCTGCTTCAATCTGTTGTTGCTGCTGCTGCTGCTGCTACTTTGGCTGCTGCTGTCCTGTAGCGGCTGTTGCTGCTATTCCTGCGGCTGCTGCTCCTGCTTCTGCTGTTGCTGCAGCAGCTTTGCTGCAGCAGCTTGTGGTGCCACTGGCGCAGCCGTTATTGCAGAAGCCACTGTTTGCGTTGTTGCTGCAGCCGTGGCTGCAGCAGCAGCGGCTGCTGCTGCTGTTACTGCTGCGCATTTGTGGGTGCCGCAGCAGCTGCTGCTGTTGCTGCGGCAGGTACTGCTGCTGCTGTTACTGCTGCGCATTTGTGGGTGCCGCAGCAGCTGCTGCTATTGCTGCGGCAGGTGCTGCTGCTGCTGCGAGTGCAGCAGCAGCTGCTGCAGCGGGCCCTTAGCCAGCTTGAAATGCTGCTGGTCTCGGGGCCCGAGCAGCAGAGGCTTCACCTGTCAAGGGGGATGTCTCGCAGCTCGTACTGCGGCTGCTGCTGCTTCTGCTGCCGCCGCTTTGCTGCTGCTTCCCGCTGCTGCTGCTCCACCAGCAGCCGCAGCGGCCACCGCCTAAACGGACACCCCAGCTTCCCGTAGCCCCAAAAGACTGCATAAGTAGTCAGGGCCATTACCAGCAGCTCAGCAGCTCGCTGCAGCCAAAACTCGCGGGTTTTGAGGGCCTGCCGCAGCGGCAGCGTCACGTAGGCTTCCTCCAGCTCCACCTGCTGCTGCTGCTGCTGCTGCTGTTGCTGCTGCGGCTGCTGCGGGAGCTGCTCCGGCTCGGCCTGGGGGGGAAGCGGCACTGCGGCGTCGGGGCCGGCGAGGTCCGCAGCTGCTGCATCTGGGACAGAGGCTGGAGGATCTTCTCCAGCGTCTGCCGCTGCTGCTGCTGCTGCTGCTGCTGCTTCCGCGCGCCCGGCGGCAGCGGAGGAAAGACAGAGCGCGAAGGCGAGGAGGAGGAGCGACAGGGAGCGCGTCATTGGGCCTAGCTGCGATAAAGGGACAAAAATAAGTTCCGCGTTATTAATTGAAGACAAAGAAACAGGTGGAACGCGCTGAGCAGCAGCTGCTGCAGGAGGCGGAAAGCCGCCAGTCGCCGTGGGGTAGTGGTGAGCCGGCGGTCGTGCAGCAGCTCAGACACAGCCTTCGGCTAGTCTGGCAAAATTAATTCGGGATTTTGCAGCAATTAAACACCTATTTAAACCACATCTCGAAATTAAATCGGCTTTTTCTCCACCATTCGCACAACGCAGCGCAGCGGAGCATCACCGCTGCCGCAGCAGCAGGAGCAGTCAAAGACCTATAGCAGCTGCCCACGCCACCGCTCAAAACTTCCTTTCTTGCTTTTCTGCTGCAGCAACTCATCTTCAAGTCGATCCCTTAGCAGCAAGGTCCCTCGCAGCAAACAACGAGGGCGGTCAAGCTCCGGGCGCCGCTCAAGGCCACATATAGCAGCGGCGACCCTCCCTCTAAAGAATCCGGCCTCAGCATTAGCGAATCATCGAAAATGAAGCTTCTAGCTCACTTTTAAGTTGAAATGTGATGAAGTCGATCTGGGTTTCGTGGCTTTGCGTGCCCCTTGGCCTCAGACGCCAGACTGAGAAGTAGACTTTGCTGCACGTGCATGCTCTAATGGCCAACAACAGCAGCATTTCACTGGAAGATAACTAGTGCAGCAGGAGCAGCAGAGTCCCTGTAGTTTACCGCGCTAGGCGCAGCCCTTAGGCTCTACCAAGAGGCCCTTGGGGGCCCCCTTTCCCATGCCATTCAGAACGAGTGAGGCCTCTGGCAGCGAAGTTAGAGGGGCCCCATTCAGAGGCTCTGGGGGCTGTGGCCCACATTGCTGCATTGAAAGAAATAAAACATCAAAGAGAAATGCAACGCCTCACCAAACCCTTTAACCTGGGACTGCTCCCTTTGGCTTGCCGTGCATGGCTTTCTAGGTTGCCAAAGTCCTTTTCGAAGGGCCTGCGAGCTGTTCACATACAAATAAGAAGTTCCGCAATAATTTCTGCTGTTCTTCTGGACGTTTGGGCTGCTGCAGACAGAGATTTCCACACTTTTGGACTTCTCGAAAGCACTGCTAAGACAACAACAGTGGCAGAAGAAGCAACTGAGCTTTAAGCTCTTCTATCAGTCTTTTTGATAATCCAAAATTGGCTTCCTTTAGGTATGATGTGGGGGATGAACAGAGCCTTGGGCCCTGACATGCTTAAGTACACTCTTCTGTTTTCTTTAGCCTCCGTAGGCCATCAAGTCACAAACGAAAAGTTAGTTGCTAGAAGCAAAGTTAGATTATCTCCGAGACAAATCACAGGATTATTTGGCTTTATTGGGAGCTTTGCTATGTTGGAGTCACCAAGCCCTCATGTGGAGGAAAAGCGGCGCAGGTATTCAATCTGTTACTCAAAATGAAAACCAGAGGCTGAATCATTTCATTGAATCCAAATACAAATTGTTGTCCTGAAAGTGCAGTTTAGGATGTTTTGGAAAACATTTATGTTACAAAAAGGGAATTGCCATCAGTTGAACCAGCGGTGGTTCACTCAGAGAAATTGTCGCAACAGCAACTCATGCAGGGCTGTCGACTACAGCAGCAGCGACAAACTTTGGTTGTCAGTGGTCGAAAGTGGAGTGGCACTACACACATATATTCATTTTTATTGTTAAGCTTTAGAAGAACGCCAGATCACAAGGTTTAGTTACTGTGGGATCTGTACGCCAGTGCTGGTCTCGCGATGAATTCCGAGACTAGGGATCAAAGCGGGCCTCTCCATTTAGGTAACTCAAAATATGATATTAGTAACTCGCTCATTTATTCGCTTGTGATGTTTGGATAGAGGAGGCACTAAGAGGAACACTCCACTTGCATCTGACGGGCGCTGCACGCTATCGTGTATCCGATTTTGGGCTGTTTGCACCCCGTAGACTCAGCAGTTGCAAGCAGAGACAGCTATGTAGCAGTAAAAGAAATGAGAACGTTAGTTATAGATGGGGGGTCTTGACTAGGTGAGAGTACGACTGACAGAGGCAACGACTTGCATGGAGGCGCTATGGAGTGCATGCACTTGAGGCGATGGTCTGTTTTCCTCAGTGCCTCCCAACCACTTCACCAAAGATTGAACGCTGCCGCGCACACTTTGCTGTTAAATGATAGGAATAACTTCATGCAGGTCCGTCCTTCTGGCGTTAGCAAACAGTACGAAAAGTTAGCCAACAAAAAGCTTCTCAGCGCCCAAATGAAGGTCGCTGAGGTGCAAGTTGGGGCACAAAAGGGACATCATGGCAAAGAGAAGTGACAGGTTAGGAGAAGCGGTGGGCCAGTGTCAGTGCGCCAGTGTTCCGTGGCTATTAACGGACCATAGTGAGAGGATACAAACGGAAAAGGACTTGTAGAATTCTGCGTAAGGGTTTTTGCTGCCACGAGCCACTGCATTTCATCACTCCTACTTTTTCCATAAGACGCTTTTTGGCGCACATTTTTCAGAACTGCTCGGGTAGTTTGGTCACGAATTGCGTGTCTACATAAGGGACAAGGAGCCGACCATTTCGCTATCTTTTGCCGTCAGAGTGTCCTGACCAATAGTCAATTCAGAGGTAAATAAGTCGGCAAGAGAGAGGCTTCTCCTACTGCATGCTAAGCTGACAAAAGGAATAAAAAATATGCATTTCCATTCCTGCTCGTCTGAGGGAGTAAAAGCACGGAGCTTGTGACCACCGAGCATCTGCACGTTTGGGCTATCCGCTGCACTGAGAGAAATAGGGATAGGATATTGCAAGTTTCATACTTTTACAGATGCACGAATGACTACAAACATTTGATGAAGAGACAGCTTCGCAGTCAATTAATTCCTCAGAAAGTCCTCGGTAGTGGTTGAGTCGTCCAGCTGGCGCTTAAACAGGGGTAGCGGCTGCAGTCCTCTCCTCCAAAAGAACGAAATGACCACCTTGCCGAGTGGCTTTACAAGAATTAGTATAACATAAACAGCAGGAGAAGTGAGAGGGAGGCCAGCAGTGAACCTAGCTTCGTAAGTGAACACTAAGCTGCTCGTGGAGGCCCGTAGACTTCTGGCTCATTGCTCCAGCGTCTCGCCATCAAAGGCTTTACACTGGCATCCGTGAATACATGAATGCCTGGCCAGTAGCAACATTTGTTGAAGGTAACGAAGACTTCTAAGTCCTCTACGGTTGGCTACCACGTGGTCGTGGTGCACAAAGAGCGCACCCGTACGGAAATTGGAATAGTCTGGCACGCCACTGCATGCACTGGATGCAAACCCGTCAAGAGAATTCAAAGTGAAGAAAGAAATGGCGGCCACAAAAGTCCCGTCGAAATAGCTCACTTTTCTCACCTATTGTAACAGCCTGAGGCTCGCAAAATATCCGGTTCTTGGTATCTGGGGAAGACCACGCTTGTCAGGGGCATGGTTTATTTACCTTTGGAATCATGAGCGAGAGTGTTGCGGATGCCGCAGTTGAGGAATGCCACTGACTTGGGCTTGGAGCCTTATTACCGGGAGTCTGTACTGTTATTGAGGTGCCAGATAGGCTCTCATGCCTTGGTATAGCTGCCACCCAACTCTATTTTCACACAAGTTCCTGGGTTTTTTAATACTGTTGAGGGTGTGCGGGTGCCTTCATTGGAGAAGTCAGTGATACTTTGGAGGTGGCTTAAGTGTGTTGTTCTCGGGTCGGTTTCCGGGGAACCATTAAATTTAACCCCCGAAATCCTGATCCCTAACTCTACCTTCTGGGACTTCGCGGAAAGACTACTATGATGTTTCTTGTGGGAATAGAATGAACTTTAATGAGCAAGTGAATGTTCAACATGCAACTTTCTGAGATTGGATATCGTCACAGGTCTGCGTTGTACTGCGACATGGGCTAAGACAACTTCATGTTAATGCGCATCACAGTCTATTATATAAAAGAAAATAGATAAACTTGCTCAGCATGTTACAAACGATGCATATGTCAGGGATGAAGCTTCTGACAAAATCTGCCGATCTCGTACGCCTCCCTAGCCCGCTCGCTGTGAGCCACACCTTGTCTAAATGCAATAGTCAAAAAGGCACCACGCTGTAGCTCAAATTATCGGCAAATACCGCTACCAAACGTGTATTTCACAAATTGAAATTTGGCCGCTGCATGCGATCAGTACGACGGATCAAGGGGCGTACGAGAAGCCTAATTGGCCTGTGGTGGAATCCAAGCCATATTACAAAAATTTCCACCCTTACGACCCCCAGGAAGAAGCCTTTGTTAGCAGGAATGAGTCGAGTAATGGAATTTGTCCCCACAACGCCGCGCAGTGTGTCAGCTTAGTGAGTTGTGAAGCAACCAAACAGCAACCAAAGTGCAGCATTTTCATGAAGTACTCGATGCTTTATCTTTCTGTCTTCCTTATTCTATTTTTGATAATTTCAATAGTCTCCGAACTTTTCGCTCCTTCCTGAAGTGGACACGCACAGTCCGCTAGCTGTTGAGGAGCGAAACCGGTGCCTATCCGTCATCAGGCAGCCTCCTCATGTGAAAACTGCGTTTAAAAAATGTCTTTTGAATGCATGCCATAAACAAGAGAAGAGGAATATTATCATGGTGGTCTTTAAGGCAGCTTTGTCGTGCAGCTCATAACAGAGCCCGACTCTGGAGCCGGCTCTGTTGCTTCTGGCGACTATGGTACGAGTGAGAAGAAAAAGTGTGAAACTTCTCCAACAGGACCTACTCTTACTTTTTGAGGATATGTGCAGAGAAACTAACCGAGACTTAAACTGCTTGAGGTTTGCGTACGTGAGTACAGACCCGCTCCAGTTGCCGTCGAGACATTGCAGCGGTTGACTTATAGCGGACCAGGATATGCTGCTCGCGCCTCGATTAGCCTAGCCTTCCATCTATATTTCTGTGTTTTTTCACATTGAGAAAATTCTGTTTTCGAACGGGGAAAGGTGGCGAGAATGACATAGAATGACCGTCAACCGGC